CTTCATTAACATGCATTATGTTATGGGGGGTCAGTGTTTTCTTTGCTTAAATCTGCAAAAAATAATTTAGTTAAATTTAAAAATGTAATTTGAATGTTCATTCACAGGCGAGATAGTAACTGTAGTAATCGAACAAGAACAAGCTGGATTGTGAGGTCTCCTCCTGTCACTGGCAGAAGTGAATAAATACAGCAAAAGCAGAGCGTTTTACATGAATAACCCACGAGACAGTGTGAATGTTCTTTTGCTGGTTCTCTTCGCTATTGTAAAAAGAACTGTTTGTGCTTTATGATCATCTCCAAGGTTGCCTTCAAGTAGGAATAGATTCTTTAAGAGTTTTCTTCACTTTCAGTTGGAACAGACTCCTTTAAGTTATTTGGGAGATGGTAGGAGATATTGATTGTAGCAGACAGTGATTGCTTTGAGTTCACTTAGAACCACTGATTGATCGGTACGTGATCTGCTGGAAGATATCTAGAACCAGCTTATTAGATTTAACCACATCGCTGTTCAGCCACTTGCTAATCAACGTGTGATCAGTTCTCTGATACTTTTTTTCTGTCATCCCTAATTTTTTTTAACACAACTTTATGTGAATTTTTTCTAAATTTTTACAGAAATTGATTTTTTCCCCAATTTCAAAACCAGTTTTAGCGGGGGGGGAGGGCAAAACCATTTTGTGACATCGTCCTTAGGATTTCATGCCCTTCCTTAATTCAAGGAGCATTGTGATCTGCTCCTTTAGTATAGGTTACTAACAAGCATGATGGATTGATTTGATAATCAGACCCCGCTCCAAGACAAATGCACATATCAAACCGTTCTGGCAGACAGGCAGAGGAGAAAAAAAATGAAACTTTCCAACTAGGTCCAAAAAAGAAGAATCAGGTTGTGTCTGATATTCAGAAATACATCAGAGCACTGCTGTAAAAATGTCACCAAATGGTCCAGTGTGACCCAAGAGAACCTGAGAGCAGAGATGTTTGCAGTATTTTTGGTCAGACTTAAACCTCAGTGAAAGTATTTTTCTTATATTTGCATCCTTGTGTTGTGGACTTACCCCAATCATCTTTAAATAGAATTGGGGGCCATGGATATGAAAGGTTCAAACAAATTACAACAATTACCTTTGGAATTGTTCGCTCTTCTTGGCAGGTTTGGTAGACTTTTGTCCAAATAATTTCGGTGAAGAACTGCAAAGTAGCTGGCTGTTAACACAATCTGAATATTTTAAAATTATTCTTTTTAGTATAAATTACCTGCAGGTTTTTTTAACAAAATAACATCTGGAGAGAATCAAACAAATGCCCCTTGCGGAGGATATTCCTTGGGAGAAGTGAACACTTTAAGTGGTGCCCGGGGAGCAAGAGAATTGTTGCTTGCTTAATAAACCACAGCCAGCCAATGGGGGATTTGAACCTGGCAACCTCTGACAATGAGCTTCATCCTCTTACTGTACCACTGGGCCAATTTGCACACATACAAAAACACATTCTAGAAGACTACTTAAAAATAAACGTTTGATGTTTTATGTCAGGCCAAGACGTTGAAGGCATGAAGTATAAAAAATGTCCCTGTTCAACACAAATCTCTAAATAAACAGAATTAGTGGATTCGAAAATAAACTGATCTTCACATAAAGAGCTCAATCAATGCACAGTCAGGAGCAACATTACACCAGGGAGACAATAGCGTGACTAGCAGGAGAAGAAACATGCCTTTCTCTGTGATACATGCATGGCCAGCTGCTTTATTTACAGACAAATACAGTCTGAAAATAATGATTACGATAAAACCACTGGATACCAAAGCTGTGTTTATCACCCATGCCTCAAATTAGCCTGTATTCATTGTGGGCTCTGCCTGGGCTTAGTACCAAGCAGCTCCTACTGGCTGCTATTGATCCGTTAATTGGAAAGTGGCCCGTTGTAGTGAAAGGGTTGGATAGTATAGACAGACAGGAAGAGATGGAGGTTTAAAATCAGTCTGGATTCTAATGGGCAGGAAAAGGATCTCAGTGAAGTGCCGTGATGTGCTTTTTATTGGCCTGTAGGAGGAGCAGGAGGCGAAGAGGTATGGAATGGCATGACCGTTCAAGGATCATCCTCTGCTCTCTTTGTCTGTGTCAAAATGAATGGCCAAGCTCTAGTCGAATCATGCATTTGTGTTGTGCTTGATATTAATGCAATCAGGAAAACGTAATTGTTTTCCTAGGGTTTAATTAGTATCTTCAAGTAGGAGGAGTCATGTTAATGTGTACAACACATACACAACGCATTGACTGTATCGCCATTTAAGGACAATGGGTCAACAATAGTCACTTATGTGGGGAAAAAAAAATATTGCAGTTTATTACGTTGGTGTGTCTGTGTGCATGTGTGTAGCAGCAATAGAGAGAATCTTTCTTTTTCTCCATCTTGGATTCAGGGCTAACAAAGCTGGGCTGATGTAAAGACATGTCCAAGGATGAGAGTCTGCTCGTAAAAGTATAGAAGGGCAACAATGTGTAGCTTTAGAAAGATCCATCCATCCTCCACCTCTTCCTCCCTCTCTCTCTCTCCACCCACTGTGCTGTTTCTGCATTGAAAAACTCTGACTGTTACCATTTCAATGCCAAACAGTTTCAAGCATTCATTCCTCTTGTACTCCATGGCCAGATTTCTGCCTTTGATATACAGTATTATGTGGGTGTTTTCTTTTAATCTTGGCGAAGGCTGGAGAGGAATTCAATGTTTAGGTGGAGAGAGAGGTGCTGGCCAAAGCATGGGATGTCAAAGTACTGAGGTGGCCCGTCTGACCTTCACACACCCTCTTTCATACTGAGCCACCGCAGAGCAGGGATGACATTGAAATACTGTATTGACCGAGTGTCAAGCTGTGCATGTGAAAAAGCTAAGCACAAGGAAGCATTACTCACTGAACATGACATTTTGCTGCTCCCTCTCTCTTTAATGCACAGAGCTCTGCCGTAGACGCAGCGATGTTTGTTTCTCTGTGATAAATCTCGTTTGCACAGTGTATGTTATTTCTCTAAGATTGTGACTGTCCTCTTTACTTTAATTATGTCTGTTGAGCTGCGCTACTACTATAGTACTATAGTAGTACATTGAACCCATATGCCTTCAACCATAGCACAACAGACCAGTATCATGTAAGACAGTCATGGGAGACTGTGAAGTTTTCAACAACAACAAAAAAAAAAACAAAACAACTTTTCAAATGAAAAAGATACAGCCAATTTTAAAACAAGTCTAATTTGCATAAAACGCACCGTAACACCAGATGCCGTGTACTCTGGCGTTTTGCTGATAAGACTCACCTGTGGGGATACATGGCGGAACTGCAAATGGAACTCCTTTATTTGCTAGCACGGGCTCATTTTCTGTTTCCTCTGTGGATATTTTTCTCTTTTTTAAAAGAAGCCCTCCAAAGGCTTATTTTGCCCATGCTTGACGTGTGTCAATGGGGTATTCAAATTGGAAGAAAATTTAGTATTTATTTTAAATTATTTATTTAAAAAAACAAACAAATTGCATTATAATATAATATATAAATATAATATAATCATGTTTGGTTTTTTTTCTGTGGTGCGCAATACCAGTACCGATACCACAGCAGTACTGTACCATTGTCCTGTTGTGTGGGACCTCTGTATACACTTCATTTACATTGAACTTTTTCAAGACACCAAGGTTGGTGTGGGTTTGTTTAGGTGCCAGATGACACACTGTTTACAGTACATGTGACCTTTAGACGTGAATCCTGATGGTAACAGACTGCTTATATTGGAGCCTGTGTTCGTTTAAAGTCTGCCTCAACACATTGATATCACATGATTGCTGTTCAGTGAATCCAGACAGTGTTGGTTGTTGTTACCATAGCACACACCGAATGTCTGACGGCACAGAGAGCCAGAGGTGTCAGGGTAGTTGGACTGAATGACTGACTGGATAAATATATGTATGTATCTTTATATGTTATATTCGTAGTTAAATCTTTACTGACTGGATAAATATATGTATGTATCCGTGCTTTATAGGTTACATTCGTAGTTAAATCTTGGAACAGACAGAACAAAAAGGCAGAAATTACAGAAGAAAAAAAAAAAAGATTAATTGCCAAAGGAAATCATTAATTACGTCTTGTAAGTCACCCCTGGCATTTAACCCCCCTAATTATGCAAATATTAAATCACTTGGATTTTGTGTTCACATATACCCTTGAGTCTTTTTTTTTTTTCATTTCCTATTGATCCGTGCAGCAAGAAGCCCCTTGTTGAAGATCAAGTTACCCCGGTGAGAATATATCTCAACACATACAGAACAAGCTTCATGTGCACACAAACACTTTATCCCCTACATGTGAAAATACTGAGGCTCAGGGGATCCAGAGAAGATATTATTATAACTGCTGTGCATCTCCTCTGTTGGTGTTAGGTTGACACACGCAGTTATCGATTACAAGTTTTTCTTCTGGTTTTCGCCATTTAACCCCTTCAGTGTAGCCCGCTGTATCAAGTTAGCGTATTATTCGCAACTTTGAGCGTTTTGAAGCCTGTAAAGTTCCAAATACTTAAAAGTGAGACTGGCAACTATACAAGACAATACTAAAAGACTGGATAGGTGGTGAAGGATTCCAAAGCTGTTTACTGGATACTGTTGGTGTGAAATGTGCGTACGTCATTTCCCCTTAGACTGCTTGAAATGCTAAACAGATACATTGAAATGTGTAAACGACTTGGCGTCTTTATCTTTTACGGTAGGTGGGTGGGTTGCTGTTTTTGGACTTTTTTTTTTTTTTTAGCTTCTTTCTTTTGTAAGATCTGGCATTGGTGTATACTACATTTAAGTGGGTAACCAGTCTGCTCCTTCACAGAATTCACACCAGAACAATACGGTGAATACACCCACAGCATTTCCCCTCCTCTCTTATGTCCTGTACCTGATTTTCAACCTTCTATTCAATAAATCATGTATGACATGATCTTTTCCTCCCTGCAGATGGACAATTTCCCCACTGAGTCTAATTATATGGGCAGCAGACAACAGTTTGTCCAAAGGTAAGTGTTTAGATTTATAACCTTCACCTCTTATTCTTAATCAGTCCCAGCTGGATTGACAAATAATTACACTGAGTCATGGCACAAATTTCATTTGAAAAATTGATTTTTTTCATTGCCATGTCTCAGTTGGATGTTATGGGCGGGGCTGGTCCTTGTTTACCTTGAAAGCCCTCAAAAACACACACCCTGTTCAAGGTTGCCTGTAAACATTTACATATTAAAGATAACAAAATGAAATGTGTTTTAATTAAAGGAAGACGTTAGCGTAACTAGTAATGGCCAGAATATTTACATATGGATAATTAGCCTGTAATAATCTTGGGAATTTGACCTATGTGTATTCTGATCTATGTTTACTCTGTACAAACATGTTTTAGTCTAATTCTGTACACTGGGAACTAATGCTGATTTTTTTTTTTTTATTCATCTTTTATTTAGTAGTTCAACATTCAAAGACCCAGAGCGAGCCAGTCTCAGAGACAGTGGTCACGGTGACAGTGACCAGGCTGACAGTGACCAGGACACCAACAAAGGCTCTTGTTGTGACATGTCCGCAAAAGAGGCCCTCAAGTTGAAAGCTACTGGAGTCAAACCACCGCCTTTGGAACAAGGTAGGCAGAAAGATATGAAAGACGTTGTGCACGTCTGACACGTCACTTCGTCTCCCTAAGCCGCTGTCATTCACATTAATGTCTAACTGCTCAGCAGAATCACACAACTGAATCCTAAACCTGGAGCATTTCCTCTCGCCTGCTTTGTTCTCAACACTTTTCCGTTTTTTTTTTTTTATGTTGAGGTTATACGTTTGCCACTGTGTGTTTGAGGGTGTGAGTTTATCAAAGCAGACAAGCCCATTATGTTTTTATAAGCCCGACTACTTCAGTCCCTCCATTTAGACCCTCCACCCGCAGCAGCCGTCTCTGAAACTTTGATAATGGAACATGGAAAAAGACTTAGCGAGCAGCAGCCGATGTTACTTTGTAGCATGGTGATTAAATATGAATAATTATTACAGCAGCGGCAGGTCGGGCAGATAACACATGACATGTGTAGAACAATGAGATGTGAGCTTATGACTCAAATGATAAGTGCAAAGGTATGAGGAGGCAAGGAAACATTAAAGTGTACGACCAGGTCGGAAGATTCAGCCACTGTAGTCCCAAAGAAACCAAAAAGTACTAATGTTCCTACAAAGAGATGCATGAAACTATGTGAGTGCATCCAAAAGTATGTAGTTTTGTATTGAACACGGATTCTTGTAATGATGCAATTAATCTAGGGAACAGAAGGGCTTGGTTTACTCCTTACGGAAGGACAATGACAATTTGTTCCGAGCGCTCTCTGCTCCGATGTGCATGTCGGACTAGAGAGCGTTTTTCCCTTTCCATCGGTTTATGGAACGAAAACACAAACCACACATGTTGGCAAGAAAAATTGGCCAATTAAAAAACTCCATATGTTTGTCATTTTGAAAATGTGCTCATTTAATTGTCCATGAGGGACAAAAAAAAAAAAAAAAAAGAAAAAAAAAGAATCACATTCAAACATGAGAGAGGATGTTAAGGACACAACCCAGCACAGAGTTTTCACATACAAACAGCTGCTATAGGTAGACTGGAGAGAGGTGGGTGGAGCCGCAGAGCTACTCGGACCATAGTTCAAAATTTTAAGGACATTCCATCCATTTCTGCCCATTCACACGACAACACTCTGAAGTCCAGTGGTGCTTGACAGACAAAGCTGTTGGATGCCTCTGCCAGTTTCCCCCACTCATCCTTGGCCTTCCCTGTTGTTCACTCACCCTCCCTGCTCCATGACTTTCGTTCCACTTCTCCACCTATCCTTGTTTGGGGAAATCGATGGAGGTGAGATTAGACAGTTAACCGCCTGCAGCTGGCTGTGTTTAGCCAATAACATGTGGGACAGGCTAAACAGTGGTGGAGGCAGCGGGCCAAGGCAGGGCGTGGAGTGAGGCATGCTCAACTTCTTTTCTGCCCTTATCTTTCATTCATTTGCAAGGACCTGAAAGTGACTGGATAGAAAGCGCACATATTTCCTCAGAAATCTTGCGTTCGATTGAAAAAGAAAAAAATGTTCTACCGTTTTCTTCCAGTCTGGCAACGTGTTGTTGAATATAAACGGTCACCTTTATAGGAGCAGCGCTCTCGAGAAGACACCGATTTGTTACTGTGTCTTGAGTTGACCTTGTTATATAATGGACCATATAATGTAGTTGTTTCATGGCCAATTAGTGAGGCTTGGAAAAAGAACAGGCTGTGTGGAAATATCGAATGTAGAGCTTTATGGGAGACGGTAGTGGAACGTCAGATGCTGTCGTCCCCATTACGTACGCAGACAAGCACAGATGCATCGAGTTTGTTCTCATTGGGTTTAAAATAAGGAAATTATTTATTTTTCTTCATAGCACATCACAGTATTTAGCATTAAATGCTCGCTCTCGCTTCCTCTGTCTCTTTCTCTCTGACTCTCTCTCTCTGACTCTCTCTCTCTCTGGCGCTCCCCCTTCTCATAACAGCTCCAGTCCTGTTCTCCTCTCCAAACATCGACCTCCCAGTTACTCTCGGTAGATCTCCGTGCCAGGACCCTGCAGCCTCATTCTGTTGCTCAGTATAAACAGAAGTGCAAGTGAACAGGGCTTGCAGTTCAAATCCTCATCGATCCCCAGCCCTGTTTTCATCTCTTTGACTTTAACATTAGGAACTTTGCTCTGTTCCAGCTTTGTTTCTGGAATCGTCTTCATTTTGGGGACATTTTTGTAATATCCGCGTTACCGCCACAACAACCAATTCATCTCCGTCTCCAAATTTCATTTCAGCTTCCTTCATACATAACAATCTTTGGGAATCTTTGCACTGTGCACCAGAAGTGAATTGAGTAATTAGGCATGCAGGATCGCTAACATTGTATTAATTAAACTCAACTCTGCACAATGCACTTTTTTTCCAGCTATAAAACACTAATTAAATGATGCTCAACTTGAATTGCTAAATGGAAGATAAATGAAAGATTAACTTGTTTGTAGTCGACGCGTTGAGTCTGCTGGAATTTTGGAGGTGCTAGCAGTGCGCCGCTACAGTCGCAATCACCGAGAAATAGGCAGCAGCGGCGTGGGGAGATGGTTCCCACTGATAACAATGTCCAAGGAACTGTAGAGAGGAGCAGGGATAATGGTAAGGGTAAAAGAATGCAGACATGTAATGGCTTGGTGAGATGTAGTGACAACAGATAACATTTAACACGTTCCTGTGAGAACCCAGTAGTAGAACATTTCTCTGTCGGATTAGGCTGCAGAATAGTGAGTGTCTAAGAGTTTGTAGCCAAGGTCTTAAATTTTTTTTAACAAAATCCTTCTCTGGCGTATTTGGAGATTACACTGTACACCAGTGTCAACTGAAACAAACAGTGGGGCGGTGAGGTGCCGTGGGGGCGCAAGGAGCTTCCAATGGAATATGGCACGCATATGGACATAAGTGTACCACCGCTGTAATGATTGAATAATAACAAGCCTCCAGTCACTAGGTGGCAGCAACACAGACAGTGGTTTGTACAGATAAATATATACATGTTATCAGGTTCTCTGTAGTATTTAATTTGTCACCAAGTGGGGCCTGACAGAAAATAGTTGAGGACCACTGCTGTACACTAAGGTATTACTGTCAGTCATCACATTAATTCATAGTCATCTTGGCCTCCACTCTTCATCGCAGCATATTGGTTTTAGAGGACTTGGATTTTAACCTGCCTTTGGGAACAATGAGAGCCCATAAGAGTGCATTTGTTCCATTTCACATAATGCTGATGAACTTCATCAGTAATATTAACCTTTAAGTCCGTTTGTCATTTTCCCCATACATAAAACAACAAGCCGAGTGGACATTATGAGAAGGCATTTATAAAATGGATGACTGAGTCAGTTTAATGCTACAGTGACTCCAGCAAACAGAATAAGCCATTCGTTTGCATCTTCACGTTGACATTTGTGATTCTTTTTAGTTTTGATAATTCCTTCTTGGATGTGACCAAATCTTTTCTCCTAACACTAATGGCATTTCTGTATTTCTCACAATTCTTTCAGTTCTCCGTTATCTCAATGTTTATCACCAATTTGGTTAGGGAGCGTGATTTGGAAACACAATGGAATCCCTGCTGGAAAAAAAAACGTGAAGTTAATTGACTGGTCCAAAGTCAGATCAGATGCCCTTTCACACATGTCGTCATGGCAACTCCTGTGCTCACACTGGCCTTCAATAAACCTTTATCTAACTGTCAGAAAAGGGCAATCGTTCAACTTCATTCATAGTTTATGGAGAGATGAACGCGGGCAGATTTTTATTGGGGTTGGTAGATGCATATTACATCATTGATTTGCGAGTGTCTGACTTTACATTCACAACGTAGCGTAATTAGCCTGCTGCAAATGTAATATTTAGCACACAGTTCACAATCCATTTCTGCCACATATGCTGCAGTTTGATCAGATATCCTTTCAATTATTGCATCCATTTACGTAAGCTAACTGTATATTATTGGCTATTTCTGCCTCCCGCTCAGCAAAGCCACACTTCAAAGGGGGCGCCAAAAGCCCCAGTGATTACAAACACTGAATAAATATGTTTCTATAATTGATGAATATTTGTGTAATTATTCTTTATCATCATTGGATGACATGGGTTTTATGCTTTCAATTCTCTTTCAAAGCCACAACTAGGTTCAAGTTGTGGCTGAAAGAAAGAGTGAAATCACAAGGTCTTAGATGCTGGATAATAGAATCCCAGAAGTAAATGAACAAAGAAACACACCAACTGTCAGCTGGAAGACTGGCAGATTGAAGACACTTCTTCTGAATCTGTATCTTTGGGCACGGTCTTATCTGAAGTGATAAGAGAGAGAGAGAGAGAGATGGTACAGACCAAACACCAGTCGTAGTGTGGGGACAGTGAAGCTGGCTCATTATTAGAAAATGAGCCAGCCCTTGTGTAAATAAGGCAAATGTCAAACACATATGTCAAAGAAAAAAACAATAAAAAAATGAATATTTTCTATCTGATTAGTCACAGGGGGCTGTGGATTAATTACAATAAGTCATTGTGAATTGCGATCAGAGTTTATCATGATTAAATGTGAGTAATGACAATGAATCAACAACTAAAAATAACAAATAAATGTATGTGGTTCACACATAATTCTTACTTCCAAATGAGGGAATAATTAAAATGAAAAAAAAAAACCTTTTTGTGTGGAGTTGCGAAAAACATTGCGCGATGGAGTCATCACAGTGTGCGGCTTTTAGAACGCATCAAGATTTGCAGTAAAATAGAGTAAGAGCAGGTGCGGGAGGGTGATGGGGTTGACTAACGCATCAATGTTCTCCTCATTTCATCCTCATTTAGCCGTATTTTCAATATAGAGTTTGTTCGATTAGCGTCTTAGAAAGGAACGTCGTTGACTTAGAATTTGATGGAAATTAAGTAAACGAAAATGAACACCCATTAATTACCTGTTATGGACTGGAAGGACCACAAAACTGGAAGCAGATGGACATGTAAGCGTCAGTGTGATGCTAAAATGTTCAGTTTGTGAAGTCAAGTCA